ACAATACTTTTTATAATGATAGATTTTTTAAATTTTTGCATGAATGGTCACAGTGATAATGTCATAGATAATTTATTCCTTTTATTCAAAGTATTGTTATAGATTGTTTTAATTTTAAATAAGAACAGAGTATGATAAATTTTCCTTGACAAATTTATGAGCAAGAACTATAATATTGTCATCTTTTCCCTTTTCCTTTTTGTAAACTTAACAGGATGAAAATTTCCCAAACAACTTAATAAAAACACATGATAATAAGTTGGAGATGGAGGGGAGATAAATGCATGTGTTAATTATACTAATCATGGTGTCTATATACCTCCTGGAAGCAACCTGAACAAAGAAGTAGTGATCATGTTCTATGGCTTTAAAGTGGCATCCACCATTGTGGCAGGGGAGGTTTGATTGAGTTCATCATGACAAGGCAGGTTTGATTGTCTCAGTCATGTCAATTTAAGAAAAGTTCATGGTGACAGAAACATGGGACTAGAGCACTTCAGATAATGTCAGATTATTAAGCCAAGTGCAGAATGCAAAATGGCTCAAAACTACCATCTTCAAAGATCTGACACTGGCAGATTATGACTGAGCCAGTTCAGCGTTGCATTCTATGTCTCAAAATCTCAGAAATCAGTGTCACTAGCTGGTGATTAATGTCCAAGCTTATAAACCTATAGAGGATATTTCACATTAAAAACACAACATCCCACTCTTGGACACCACAGGATCATGGTCATCTCAGGATTAAAATGTATTTACTTAAATGTGAAGATTATCCACAGTCTTAACACTACTCAAAATATCAAAGTCTCCTTTGAGACTCTTGGTAAAGTCAATACAAGTTACACATTCCCAGTGTGCAATGATATGGTGTGAACACTCCCATTCCAGGAATGAGGAGCAAGAAGAGAGAAAGAATAGTTCAGACCAAACAATAATGAAACCTGATAAAACAAAGATCACACCCCACAGCTTCATATCTGGAGTGAGGAAGCCAAGGGAGCAATATCGGCATTCAAGTGCACCTAAGAATCCACACCTCCATCCCTGGTGTTGTCGTATGAAAGTACATAGAGTCTCTCCAGCTGTTTCCACATAGTGCCTGCAGCTCTCCTTCGTAGACATCATATATACGAAGCATCTCTAACATCCTGGCATCCTCATTGGCACTTTGGATTCACATTCACAACTGCAGAGTGAACTCCTCTGGGCTGGGAATCCAAACCTGGTCCTCAGTGATTGGCCTTATCTCCTTTTCTCTGGAACTCTGATGAAAAATTTGATGGCCCCATAACTTTTATTCTATATTCTGACAAATGCAAAATCATGTACATGACCAAAAATTTTGAGACCAGCTCAAGATAAACTCTAAATCTTCTTTACAAACATTACAGCAGCCTCCGAGTGTCTGTGTAATGAACTGAGAACATTCCTTTTGTGATCCCTTTTGAGAAGGCCACACTGCAGGTTCTGTCATTATGGGCTTTTTCTTTTCAAAAGAAACTATTTAAAATGAATTTGCTTAGTTACACACCAGAACGCTTAATAGAAAGAATCTTGTCCTTATAATATTATTTCTTAATGGGTTCTTCTTTTTAAGACTTTTTAATTTTAATTACATATAGATGTGTGGATATGTGCATGCCATTGCAGGTGTCTGCAGTCACCAGAAGAAAGTGTCAAATTTCCTATGATCTACCCAATGTGGGTGCTGGGAATTGAAACTAGGTCCCAAGGAAAAGCAGCCAGTGCTCTTAAGTGATGAACCATCTCTCGAGCGTAGGGCTACACTAGAACACCTACATATATGTTATGGTTATTAGCTTTATGTTTCTGTAAGACTCTTTTGCGTGCCCCTGGGACCCTCTTCCTCATAATGGGTTGCCTTGCTCAGCCTTGATATAATGGTTTGTTATGCCATGTTCAGTTTTTCCCTGGGATGTCTGCTCTTTTCTGATAGGAAACAGAGGAGGAGAAGCGGAACTGGGGAAGGTAGGAATTGGGGGGGGGGGAGCATAAAGGAGTGGAAAGAGTGAAAATCTGTACTCAGAATGTATTGAAAATTAAAAAAAAATAAAAAGGATCATTTCTGCCTCTCTTATCAATTCTTTTTTATTTTCTTTTTTCACATTTTTATTTAAAAAAATTTGCTTTTCATTTAACTCCCAGTTCCCCTTCCCTTCCCTTCTCCCACCTCCCTAACTTCCCCTTATTCCTACCTTCCACCAATTCCTCAGAGTGGGTAAAGACGTCCTTGGGAAGTCAACAAAGTCTGGCACACCAACTTGGGGTAGGACCAAGCCCTTGCCCCACCCGCTCATCCCATATCAAGGCTGGGCAAGGTATTCTTAGTCTACTGAAGGACTTTATACAGGGTGAAATACTCACAGACTTTCCAAATCCCCCTTTAGCATGTCTATTGTTATTGTCTTTGTTCATCTCATATTACATATAGTGTAAATTAATGTATTCTTTAAGTTGTTCAGATCTTGTCCTCATTGTGACTGCCAGGGAGAGTCACTCTCAGTATTAATGTTTGATATAGCCTCTTACTTTAAAGCCGTGTCTTCATTTCATCTGTGAGTTGGAGGTAATGGGAAGAAGGTGGTGGGTACACTACTGATTTTGCCTGGAACAAATACAGGTTTGGCTCTTGTTAAGCATGTGTTTCTTTGACTGGATAGATGGCTCAGAGTTAGGAGTATAACTGTGCTTGAGGACTTGAGATTGATCGTTCACACTCACAAGATGGCTCTTAACCATCTGTGACTCAGTTTCCAGGGGATTCAGTGTTCCTTACAGCCTCTTCAGGTACCAGTTATGCATGTGGTGAATGGACACACATGTTTTGTATTGAGTCAAGTTACCAGATGACTGATTGGGTAAATAACATAATGATAAAAACAGCATGCTTTTTTCTTCACATCCCAAAGGAACTTAACCCAGAGCAGAGATTGGGGCCATTTGTCATTTGCTATCTTCAAAGTGTATCAAAGAGATTGATGAGCATGTAAGAGTATCGTTCTTTATTTTAAATGGATAGGATTTTTAATTTGCCCTAAAGTCACTGAATCAAAAAAGCACACAATAAAATATTTCTTTATAGCTCCCAATGAAAACAGAAAAAAATATTTATAGGAAGAAATGTTTCCATAATGGGATGAAACAACATAAACTCAAAATGTACAGGCAAGGGTTAGCTCTATCACTTATTTTTAAAAGGTTTATATAAATAGCTGGTCAATTCTAACAGGGTATCTCACTTGAAATGTTATCTATATGGATTTCAAGTAGACCGCATGGCTATATACTGTATTGGAATGTCCTCACAGGGCTCTGTCACAGAACAGGTAACAGAGAAAAACCCCAGAGTCCTTTCTTTCAAACAAAGAGGAAACAAGTGGGGTTGAAGAAACTGTTCAAATTTCATCTTCTTGATGAAGTGACTTGAAGTCTCTCTGTTCTCCTTTATCAGCTGGGAATCCTCCTCGACTTCCAAAGTCTGTGGCTTCTTCCAGCAAACTTTCCTATTCCTCCTAGACCCCCTTCCTCAGTCTCCAAAACCTCCTCTGCCTCCACCTAGAAAACCAAAGTCACCTTCACCTTTAGGTTTGGCCCAGTCCCATGTTTGTTTCCATCAGTTTCTCTGTCTTCTGTGGCCTCCTTGGCAGCTTTTGTGTCTTCCTCGATATTGAACCCTACAAAGTCAAACTGTTTGGATGAACCAATTTCCCAATCAGTGACTATTCTTGTTTGAACAGAACCCTTAAATGATTCTTTAAAGGTCTCTTCAGTGGCATCTTCTGACAGACCTTTGACAAACAGAGGTTTTGGATCGCTGACTTCTTGCAATAGGCAATGCCCTGGTTCCTTGTAACCCCAACCTGATTCTTCTGCTCTTGATTTCCAATTTGTTCTAGAAGTTTATAGATTCTTTAGCATCTTCAAATGAAGCAGATTCAAATGCATGCCCTTTAAATTTTCTCTTTGGATTATGGGCAATTTGATAAAAGTTGCTTACTCAGATACTTCATGAAGAGTTTCTTCTGTTGCACCGTCGAAAAGGTTATATCAAACAAAGTTTCTGATTCACCACTCCAAGTGCTCCTCTTTCCAGCTCTCTCTTGCTTTTGTCCTTTCTTCCATGCAAGTACTAACCAGGCCTGACCCTGATGAGCTTCCAAGATCAGACTATATCAGGCATGTTCAGAGTGGTATGGCAGTAGAAGGCTTCGTCCTTTCTCTACAGGGTTGTAAAGTGAAACATATTGCCCATCAATTCCTGCCCCCTACTTTTCTTCATAATTTTCCTTTACATCAGCTTCTGTCTTAAATTCAATATGAGCAATCCCTCACTCTTCCCATCCTTGAGGACAAATCTGATCTCCATGGTATCTTCAAACACTTTTTATAATTCATTCCCAATGATGCTGAGAGGTTTTTTTTTTTATAAATATGAAATGCTTCATTAATTTGTATGTGGTCCTTATGGAGGGACCATGGTAATCTTCTCAGTATTATTCCAGTTTTAGTATATGTGCTGCTGAGATGAGCATAAAGGTGTCACTGATAGCTTTTCTCTTTTCTCTTCCTTAAAAAGTGCAAAACAGGTGTAAATTTATGTCTTATAAACAAGGTTCGGGAAGAAGAAAAATATAACTCTCAATTCCTCCTAGGCTTCAATGAAGTTAGGCTTAGGTATCAAGGGAAATTACTTAATTACTGTTTTCAGCCAAAGCTCAACACCTTGTTAAATTAATATTGGAACTGATAAATGAACTAGTGCTTTATTTTCTATGAGTTTGCTAATATTCCATAAACCTTGCTAATCTCAATGCAATAAACATTTTACCATGTTTAAGAATTTTTTCAATAATTTTTAGCACACTATTTTTTTGAGAATGCTTTTTTATGAAGGAGTACAGTTACTTGTGGACATCTATAGGAGTTCCACATAGAATAACTGAGGATTCTGGCTGAGTTTTCTGTACTCTTCCCAGATTCTGTTCCACACTTGGGCTTCCTAGAGGACAACCGTGAACCTTTCCATAGTGAGTTACACATTCCTTGTACTTTTCTTTCAGTCAGGGTATTTTGCATCTCCTAGTGTTCCTAATGATATAAATTTTATAATGATATTTCAGTTCCCTGAGGTAAACAGCTTGCTCTTTGAAGGAACAGAATCCATGTAACCATCTAGATATCTTCTGTAATGTTGCAACATATTTTCTGTCAAGTTGAGAAAATGTAGCAGTGTGTATTTATTATATCTCAGACAAGCCAGGAATGAATATAAAGAAGGGCAAGATTCCTGTCTTTTGAGAAATGAGGATCAATAAGTAAAATCTTAGTACTTGAGAAATGTATATAATCCATGGGAAAAAATCCATTAGGCCTCACTAATGCAAAAATTTAACAAATTATTGTTCTTAATTTCAAAGAAAAGAACTGTAAGACACCTTTTAAGGATGAATTATATAATAATGTCTATTTTCTTTTTAGGGTGTGAAGATGACATTGTATTTTATGTCATATAACCACATAAATCCATGTTTGTGTGAAAACCTATTGCTTTTATTGTTAATGATACATTTTTTTCTTTTTTCTCTGTATCTCCCTCTCTTCACAGAAAAGTTCTCCAGGAAACCATGAGAGCTCCCGAGTTCAGTCGACAAAGGAAGAGACGAGGAGAGCCTCTGGAAGATTTATACCCACAAAACTGGGAGAAAAAACATAATCACATAATAACTTCAAAAAATAAACAATTCTCACTTTGAACAAAAGAACAGTGTGCCCTCAACTTCAATGTTAAAGACCAAAATAACAAGGACCTGTTGAGACCACAACAATAATCAAGGGGAAGATTTAGGGAGTCCAGAAAGACCCAGGGATACCGTATGCTGCTATATGTAGGTAGAATCTCCATGTTCTATTGGGAGAAGAGAGTAAGGGGGCTCAGGCAAGTTTGTTCCTTGCCCAATAGTCATATATAAATGCCTGGATGGCTATAGTTTTGTCTTTCTGTTAAAACTGTCCACAAAAGTAAATAGAAAATAGCTATATCTTTCTTCATGGTCAAGAATTCTAGAGTTCTTCATACATACACTGGAAACTCCACTGTTCACTTTGGTAAGTAGATTTTAAGTAAACTTAGACTTCAAGAACAGAAAGCACCCCTATCTTCTCCCAGAGAATGAAGTTTAAATTGAATTCAAACCCTTCAAGGGAGATAAGAATAGTGCTGAGTATACAAATTTTAAAAATCTCTTTTAGGAAAGCATTTTAACAACAAAGTGAAGCTCCTTTTGTTGAGTTTCAATCAATTGGATAAATGCTGCAAAACATACTACCCCTTAACTGGTTACCATAGAAAGCCCACTCCTTTTGCTAATTCTAGCCATAAGTGCTTCTCACAGCATCAGTCAATAGAACATTGTTGGGTTTACAGATAGTACAAAAATATTTTTTCCAAAAACAAAAACCACTCCTCTGGTGAAGACATACCACCCCAATGATCAGAAACCACACACACACACACACACACACACACACACACACACACACACACACATTCGTATATGAATAAATTCAAATATATGTATATATATCTATGTGTATGTACATGTATATAGTAAAATTTATAAAGAAGTACATTAATAGGTGGCCTATTGTATGAAGAAGTGCCAAAGGCCTCTCAGTATTCAACATATTTAGAGAGTAGTGCAGGGTGTCAGCTTTTAAAAATAGTTTCTGACACAGAGACAGAGACCCACACGGGAGCACCGGACAGAAATCTCAAGGTCCAAATCAGGAGCAGAAGGAGACGGAGCACGAGCAAGGAACTCAGGACCACGAGGGGTGCACCCACACACTAAGACAATGGGGATGTTCTATTGGGATCTCACCAAGGCCAGCTGGCCTAGGTCTGAAAAAGCATGGGATAAATCCGGACTAGCTGAACATAGCGGACAATGAGGAATACTGAGAATTCAAGAACAATTGCAGTGGGTTTTTGATCCTACTGCACGTACTGGCTTTGTGGGAGCCTAGGCAGTTTGAATGCTCACCTTACGAGACCTGGATAGAGGTGGGCAGTCCTTGGGCTTCCCACAGGTCAGGGAACCCTGATTGCTCTTCGAGCAGATGAGGGGGGGGGACTTGGTTGGAGGAGGGGGAGGGAAATGGGAAGCGGTTGTGGGGACGAGGCAGAAATCCTTAATAAATAAATAAATTTAAAAAATAAAAAAAAAACAAATGTGAAAAAAATAGTTTCTGACATATAATGTATATATTAACTTAATCTTCAGCTCTCTTAAAGTGGGACATTTACAACAAAAAATCTGAATGAAGAAAAAAAATGAATAAAGAAAGAAAGAGACAAAGAAACAAAGAATGGAGGAAGAATGCATTAAAAAAACAAAGAAATGGCATGGACTAGTAGAATATGGTGATAGGATCAGGGAAGTGGTAGGGAGGCAAGTAATGAAATTAAAAGTGCCAAAATTAGGAGGGACAGATGAACAGGAAAGTAATATATATTTGGATAAGAATACATATTAATATGCACATATAAAATATATGGATTTAAAATTGCTAGATAAAATATTATATATACAAACATATTCTCTTTTATGTATAATATATATTAGTTTATGTAACAAAATTAGTGAGAAAAGAGACCATGAATGCTCTATGAAAGAAATTTTTATTTATTTATTTTTTTTTTAAAATTGTTTTTATTGAGCTATAGCAACAAGTGTTCTTAACCACTGAGTCATCTCTCTAGCCGGCCCTCACCCGAAATAAAAATTAAATGAAGTAAATGTGATTATGTGCACATGAGTACAAAGGCCAGAAGCGAGTTTTGGGTTCTCTGGAGCTTGAGCTGCAGGTGTATGTGAGCCACTCAGCGTGGGTGTTGGGATCTAATTTTTTAAGGTTTTTTTTATTGAAAAAAAAAATTTCTGCCTCCTCCCAGCCTCCCATTTCCCTCCCCCTCCTCCCTCCCCTCTCCCCCTTTCTCCCACTCCTCTCCCCCTCCTTCTCCAGTCCAAAGAGCAGTCAGGGTTCCCTGCCCTGTGGAAAGTCCAAGGTCCTCCCCCCTCCATCCAGGTCTAGGAAGGTGAACATCCAAACTGGCTAGGCTCCCACAAAGCCAGAACATGAAGTAGGAACAAAACCCCATGCCATTGTCCTTGGCTTCTCATCAGCCCTTATTGTCTGCCATGTTCAGAGAGTCCGGTTTTATCCCATGCTTTTTCAGTCACAGTCCAGCTGGACTTGGTGAGCTCCCAATAGATCAGCCCCACTGTCTCAGTGGGTGCACCTCTCGTGGTCCTGACTTCCTTGCTCATGTTCTACCTCCTTCTGCTCCTCATTGGGACTTTGGGAGCTTAGTCCGATGTTCCAGTGTGAGTCTCTGTCTCTATCTCCATCCATCACTAGATGAAGGTTCTATGCTGATATGCAAGATATTATCGGTATGGCTATAGAATAGGGTCATTTCAGATTCCCTATCCACAGCTGCCCAAGAAACTAACTGGGGACACTGCCCTGGGCACCTGGGAGCCACTCTAGGTTCAAGTCTCTTACCAACCCTAAGGTGGTTCCCTTTATTAAGTTATGTGATTCCCTGGTCCTCTACCAACCTTGTTTTATCCCCAATCATCCCATTTCCCCAAGTTCCCCCCATCCTCCCCTTCTCGCTTTTCTCTCCCCATCTCCCCTTACTCCCATTCCACCCCACCCCCAAAATCCCAATTTTAGGAAATTTGGGATCAACCTACCCCTGGACCCAGCAATACCACTCTTGGGAATATACCCAAGAGATGCCCTATCATATGACAAAAGCATTTGTTCAACTATGTTCATAGCAGTATTATTTGTAATAGCCAGAACCTGGAAACAACCTAGATGTCCTTCAATGGAAGAATGGATGAAGAAAGTGTGGAATATATATACACATTAGAGTACTACTCTGCCATAGAAAACAATGACTTCTCGAATTTTGCATGCAAATGGATGGAAATAGAAAACACTATCCTGAGTGAGGTAACCCAGACCCAAAAAGATGAACATGGGATGTACTTACTCATAATTGGTTTCTAGCCATAAATAAAGGTCACTGAGTCTATAATTTATGATCCTATAGAAGCTAAATAAGAAGGTGAACCCAAAGAAAAATATATAGTTATTATCCCTGCTATGGGAAATAGACAAGATTGCTGGGCAAAAAAATGGGTGTTGGGATCTAAACTCAGATCCATTTTGCTATCTCTCTAGCCCAAGTGACAATCTTTTAATTGCATATTCTAATGTGTAAAAGTGCCTGCCTGATGTCTGAAACTTCACAACCCATAAAACAAGGTGCACTTGTTGGAAATAACCTTTAATTAATAATTTAAAGACAGAAAGACACCAACCTGTTTTTTGTTCTTTCAATTTGAGTACCATCCAAAAATGTCAAAATGTGTTCCCCTGATTGCTTTGAGTTTCGACTAAAATAATACAGTTTCTGTGTGGTTATGAGGCAGCCAGGATGAATGAGTGGGTCCTCCTCCTACACATCAGTAAAAATAATTCTGCTATGCAGTATATTTTACCTAGAGAATCAAGCTGCTCTTACCTAGTTTCACTAATTTTGTTCATAGATGAAAAACACCATGTCTCTTACCTCCTTACCAAAGAAACCCTACTATCTTAAATTATTCTAACCAAATGTGATTTTCACAGTTTGTGTCAATGGAATACTGATGGGATAAAAGATTATACAGAATTATCCTTCATATTTAGCTCAAACATTCCTCTAGTGAAATTGGCACTTCCCCAATGCTCAGAGACCATATGTAAAAAATATAAAGGGGAGTACATCCTTAGGTGGTGAATAGTATAGTAGCCTCATATAGAAATTCATTGATAGTGGGATGAGAGGCAGTGTCTAAGACCTCTCAGTATGCAACATAGACACCCTGTCGTGGTGAGGAGTAGAGGAGCTGGGCTATTTTCAGGATCCCGGGCTCAACATAACATATACTGGATTCAATTTTCCCAGGTGGTAGTGACACTCTGGCTCATAGAATTTAAATACCTTCAGATAAACTATCCTAGGCAGCAACCAAATTCAAGAAAGTCACATCCTTCATCAACCTCAGTCTCATCTATGAAATGGTGTAAGACATTGTTGAATACAGGTAAGAATGAAAAACTTACCCTTTTGTGAATAACATTGAGTTCTTAAGTGTCACAATCAAGAAATTTGCTTGTCTTGGATGAGGATATCAAATAAAAATGGTCTTTGACCAGCTATTTCACAGACTGCATTCAGAGAAATTAAGAAACCTTGCATTAGGAAGTAGTTACCATTGCTTGGCACTTTCGAAGGATTTATCCAAGGTCTGATTTGGAAACTCACCTTCAATGTGGGTGGACATTAAAAGGTATATAATGGCAGGCACATACCTTGGAACCTTAAAGTACTCCAGTATACCACTGCTTCTCAGCTGTTCTCTGCTTTTTGAGTCCATGATATGAGCAGAGCGTATTCCGCCATGACTAACAGGTAACCATTATGACCCAATTGTCTGTCATTATGTAATAAACTTCCACATACTAAGCCGACCACACCCACTTGTGTCCTCAAACTATATCTTCTTTTAGTTTATCAGAGCCTCTTTCTGACTTGGAACTATTTTATTCCCCTTACCTCACAGTTAAATACTATGACTACAATCTAGCACACATGTAAGCAAAGGCATCACTATGCCACTCTGGTATACTGATGAGC